TGCAAATATAGGTGTAGCCTGACTAGAGGACAGCATTTTGACTCCACTTTACCTCCTGAAACACACACACATACACACACACAATTAATTCAGTATTTAAATAGCATGAGCAAATATGTATTTATTTTATCTATATAACATACTTCGAAAAATCTACAGGTATCACATTTTCTTTTACTATGCATAGATGATAAAATAATAGATTTTGGTAATTACATGGTGAATTACAGGAAACTATTATTTGTATTACTTTTGACACATTTAATAACTGAAAAAGGCCATTCATGGGATAATAATAGGCAGATTTTAAATAAATGTCTTCATCTAAGAATTAGTGTTGGTAGAGCCAATCAGATGGCTAAGCCAGTACAGGTGCCTGCTTCCCAGGACTGATAACCTGAATTTGATCTCCAGGTCGGTAAGGCAGAAGGACAGAACCGATGCCTATAAGTTTTAGTCTGACCTCCTCACATATGCTGTTGCACACAAGCAGCACACACGTGCAAACATGCATACCCACAAACATGTATACCTACATACAAACAGATAATGTCTTTAAGTTTTTTAAATTAATAACTAGTGTTGCTGCTAAGAACGTTATCCTAGAGGAAACGGCCTTTAACACTGTTACTTAATTTTATATTATTTGGCTTTCCTATATTACATAACTTTATGAAAGTTAGAGATGCTCTTCTGACATTATTGAGAAAATGATTCGGGCTATGCTATAAATTTACTACCCACAAATCCATAGAAGTGGCTGGATATTTGTCACAAAAATTCAGAACCAAATATCATATGTTGGCCAATCTTATTCTTGTACTAATTTTATCAACAGCATAATGTTATGACAATCTATTTGTCATAGAATGGCCACTTAGCTGACTAACTTTCATTTCTTTAATGATATTGGATTTTTCGTATTTTAATTTTTCAATCTAACTTTGCATGGAGCTTGTATTTTGCTCCTTTCCATGTAATAGTTTTTATTATTTATTCTAGAGAAAAATCTGTTGTCAGTTTCCTGTGGTGCCAATGTCTCTTCCATAGTGGAATTCTGACAAACTGCTCTTTTATCACATATGGGAACAACTCAGAGGGTGCTAAAATCCCCTTTTATAAATTTTCCTCTTAGTCATATATTCATGTTCATATCTTTTCAAAATTTATGTTTAGTTTGGGATTATACATTTATGTCCCTTAATATACATTTTAAGGTTCAGTGTAAACCTTGTCAGAATAAAATAATAATTAATTTATTACTGTAATACTTATCAGCGTTAACACTTTATTTCTCCTTGCTATGTGGACACTGAGTAGAGTGAAAATCTTGCCTTGATATAATGATTGCCCTCAACTGATCTTCATTTCCTGGATTATTACAGAGCACTTTCAGGGTCCTCTGTCATCCCCAATTCTGTTTCTGTTTCTCTTTGGCTGCCTCCCTGATGCTGCCACAGTACTTTTAATATGATAAAGAACCTTCAGTGAAGCATGGATCCAGTCTCTTTCCTGTGTATTTCCCCTGAAAGTCCAAATAACCTTTGTGTTTATAAAACTTAGAATCAAATTTCAGTTTTTATGAGAAGTTTCCAGGGGTTAGTATTTAATTATATTGAAGCCGCACATCGGTCTGGAGAGAAAGCAGTCTTGCTTATGTTATTTTGTCTCCTTAACCACAGACATAATACAGATCTTAATTGTATTAGCTCTTCTTTAATAGAATTCAATAAAACCTTCTGGATTTAGATCTCATGCATAATTTATTAGACTTATTCTTAAGTTCTTTTATCTTTGGTTAATAAGACTTGTTAGTTTTCATAATTAAAAACATTTTATGTTCAATATTTTTCTGTTTTTTCATTAGAATGAGTGGGTGCTGTGCTTTATTTCTTGTTTTCTGTCTCTATGTTCAGTGGTTCCATGTGTTCTGTAATTAATTTGCTATATTGATAGTTTCTACTTATTTAAGAATATTCATCTTTGTTCTGGTTACTTTTTACCAACTTGACACAAGTTACAGTTATCTTGGAAGAAATGTCCTACCCAGCAAAAATGCTTCCATCAGACTGGTGTGGAGGCAAATTGATAGAATATTTTTTCCCTGATTGATTTGGAAGGCATCATTCATCTGTGGCAGGTCTATCTATGTGCAGGTGTTCCTGAGTTGAATGTAAAGCAAACTGAGAACACATGGGATATGATAAGGAGCAGCATCCCTCCGTGGGCTCTGCTTTAGTCCCTGCTTTCATTTCTTGCCCTGACTCCCTTTGATGTAGGACTGTGATGTGGCAGTCTAAGCCAATTAAACCCCTCTTCCACAAGGTGTTTCTGATCCTGTGGTTATAGAACACCAATAAAAACCTACTAAGGTACGCTTTCTTCCCTCTCTATTTCTTCATCTCTCTTCTTTCCCTATGTAGTTCTCTACACTGGTCTCATTTATGTATGTGTGTGTATGTATGTATGTATGTATGTATGTATGTATGTATGTATGGATGCATGGATGCATGGATGCATGGATGCATGTATACATATATATAGGCATGTGTGTAAGTATATAGTATTTGTGTATGTATCTATGCATAAGTATATATTTATATTCACCACAGCAGATTTTATTTCAGTAAGGTAGGGGAGTGGTTCACTATTATTTTATTAATCTACTGATGTATAATATTTGTAGGAAGATGGTGTTGTATTAGTTCAAAGTTTTTTAAATGATATAAAATAATTTGGGACACTTTTTATTTTATTTTGTTTTCTTTTTTTTTTTGTTTGTTTATTGAGATGGGATTTTACTGTGTATCCCTGGTGGCTCTGGAACTCACACCGTAGACCAGACTGGACTACAATATCAAAAATACAAAGATCCACCTGTGTCTATTTTCCAAGTTCTAGAATTAAAGGTGTGCATCACCACACATGGGAAACATTTTTCATTGAAAAATTTTTTAGAGTAAATTACACATGTGTGAATTTATTTGTTTTATTAAATATCAATAATAATATGCCAAAATATTCTTTCTGAAATTTTCCCAAAAATATACTTAGTTTAAAATATAGTTTTATACAGATTGTCCATTTCCTTGTTGATGTATCGCCTCCTTATCTTGTGAGCTGCATGTGGCCATGTATACCTATAATTACAACCCAAAACAACACTGTAAATTGACTGAGTGCTTAATATAAACTTTGGGTGATTACTTTTGTAGAATAGCATTGCTTTTTTTATTGATTTTTATTGAGCTCTGAATTATTCTCTGCTCTCCTCCCTATCTCTTCCCTCCCCCTGTCAATCCTCTCCCAAGGTCCCCACGCTCCCAATTTACCCAGGAGATCTTGTCTTTTTCTACTTCCGATGTAGACTGGATCTATGTATGTCTCTCTTAGTGTCTGCATTGTTGCCTAAGTTCTCTGGGTTTGTGGTTTGTAGGCTGGTTTTCTTTGCTTTATGTTTAAAAAGCACCTATGAGTGAATACATGTGATAATTTTCTTTCTGGGTCTGGGTTACCACACTCAAAATGATGGTTCCATCCATTTTTGTGCAAATGTCGTTATTTTTTTCTGCTGTGAAGTACTCCATTTTGTAACTGTACCACATTTTCCTTATCCATTATTTGGTCGAGGGGCATTTAGGTTGTTTACAGGTTCTGGCTATGACAAACAATGATTCTATGAATATAGCTGAGCACATATCCTTGTGCCATGATTGAGCATCCTTTGACTATATACCAAAAAGTGGTATTACTGGGTCTTGAGTAAGGTTGTTTCCTAATTTTCTGAGAAATCGCCACACTGATATCCAAAGGGGCTGTACCAGCTTGCATTCTTACCAGCAATGCAGACGTGTTCCATTTACCCCACAACCTCTCCAGCATAAGTTGCCATCAGTGTTTTTGATCTTGGTCATTCTTACAGGTGTAAGATTGAATCTTAGAGATGTTTTGATTTGCATTTCTTTGATGACTAAGGATGTTGAACATTTCCTTTAGTGTCTTTCAGCCATTTTAGATTCCTCTGTTGAGAGTCTATATTCCATTTTTCTTTATTGGATTATTTGTTCTTTTGATGAACAATTTCTTGCCTTATTTGTATAATTTGGAGATCAGAGACCTGTTGTTGTGAATCTTATAAGGACATGGCATCAATAACAAAGAAAATGACAAATAAAGATAGATCAAAACCAAGGCAGCTAGAAAGAGTTGAAAATTTAGTTTACCTGCAATGATTTTTAAATTTTATGCTTTGAAACAAAAGAGGAAAAAAAAACAAGTATTTTTTTAATACTAAATCTTAGAGTTAATAAACTTTCTGGAAAATGTAGAGACCATGTTTAATATTATATATAATACTATTTAATTTTATATTATAATATAAAATAATTATATATATAACAACATAATATTTTATAATATTGGATATAATATAATATTTTCAAATAAATTCGGTATATGTAAATTCCTTGCTAAATTTTTATTGAAATCAAACATTGTTATTACAAACTGCATACAGTCTCACATGAGATGACAGTAAATATATATGTTATAAAAACCTCACCTACTATTTTCTCCGAGTTTATTTACAAACCTTGAATGTTACAGATTGTATGTTTTTGGTATTGCTTTCTTTGACTTTTTAGCAGTTTCTCTGCTCTTCTTGGGGTTTTCCACATTCACTTGTTCATCTCTTAGGTTCTAACAGCTTCCCATGAATTCTGATAGCGTTCTTTCACTCCGGTTTCTTAATAATATGCTATTCCTTGATGGGAAGAGAGCCCTGGTTTTGGTATTCATGTCAAGACATGGCTTGCATTTTTCTTTCTTCTCTGTGAGCTAATGAGTGCTAGCAGAGAGAGACTTCATGCAGTTGTCTTTGGCAAAAGTCACACTACAGCATACTGAGCTAGAGGCAAGCCACAGCGTTAAGGAGATTTGCTGTAAGCCAAGTCTTTAAAGTGTGTGTTGAAATACTAAATACATCCCTGTGTGTTTTGCAGACAATCCTGATTTGCTGAGCCATGTCTCCGTGGGCATTAGAGTTCTCGATGTCAATGACAACCCACCGGAACTTGCCAGGGAATATGATATTGTTGTCTGTGAAAATTCTAAGCCTGGTCAGGTAAGCTAATTCTTTTCTTCCTACCCTCTGAATGGAAGAAAAATAAGCAGCTTTATATCTATTATTCTTAGGTTTTATCCCCCAAATCCCTCTGTGTCATTTTTATGCTCAGTGATGATAATTTTATAAGGTTTTAGGTAGACTTTTGAACATCACAGAAAATGAATTTTCCATGCATCCTAATGCAATTCAGAACAATGAGCCCATTTAGGTATGATCTATTCATCATGACAATTAAAGTGTATCCAGCTTTGTATTCAGTGAGTAGCTGACTCCTCTCATGACCTGATGAAGCCTAGATGTTGTATCTGTGAGGAGAGTCTGGATCATACACGTTTTGAGACTAAACACATGATGGTGAAATATCGATTATGAAAGGGGTGTGGGCATGCACACATTTGAGTTTGCATACACTGTTAAGAGAACCTATGCATTATGAGAGAACCTATGTATTATGAGATGGGGAAAATAAAGAAAACATAGACAGGAAAGAAGGTTGGATCCGCTGTGCCACCCATTAGAATTAACACCCATGAAGGAAAGCTGGAGTGGTTGAGGCCAAAAAAAAAGTGGGAAATATAAATTAATCTTATATGCTGCCTGACAAAATATATGAAAACCACAGCCAAAATAAAAGTGCACCTACTGTCTCACTTCCTGTAACTCACCCTCACTAATGTATGGCTAGAAGTTCAGTATAGCCTAGATTATATAAGAACATATAACAAAATAAAAATATCATTTTATAATTTAATGTAGCCTGTTATATCACATACATACATATTATCGATTACATAACTTCATATGAAAATATAACAAGTTTTATACAGAATTATAGTTTATTGTACTTTAATCCATTTAACCTACAATACTTCATATGTTTATAAAATAAGTTTATGTGATCTCATATAGTATTTGGCATTGAACACAATCATGGGTTAACTTAAACAACATGTTAAGCATTTCTTAGGACTTCATATCTAATGTGAAGGCTGAAGGTTTTACATTTAGAAAATGCTACGCCATCAAGCAATGCAGCTCCGTCATGGATGGCTTTCTTATCACACCAAGGGCCAGATTCAAAGTTCTGTTCCCAGTGCTGCTTAAATATAACAATAAAATGAAGTAACTAAAGTAAATATAAAAGTGTCTTTTTAAGTAGAAAATCCTTGGACTTCCCACAGGGCAGGGAACCCTGATTGCTCTTTGGGCTGACGAGGGAGGGGAAGAAGAGTGGGGGAGGGGGATGGAAAGGGGAGGCGGCAATGGGGAAGAGACAGAAATCTTTAATTAATTAATAAAGAAATAAATAAATTAAAAAAATAAAATAGAAAAATAAAAAGCTATAAGAAAGTAACAAAAGAAAAGAAAATTAATAATAACTTTAACATGTTAGATTTAGTTTTTACCAGTAATGTATCCTCATATCAATACATTATGGTCAATAATATTTTTAAAGCAGTTACATTTATTTTCAGATATTGTCAAAATTTTCTCAGTGTTTATTTATTTGTAGTCAGTGAATAGCAAGTTGATTCTTCCTTTACTTTTAAAAGGTGAAGCATCTTCATGGTTTTCTGTCTGTCAGATCTGACAAAATAACCAAATATATTAAGCATTAATCAGAACGTGGTTTCTTGACTGAGAACACTTGTGTGAAACCAGGAAACATCAAAATTGTTGGTGGATATTACATATTACCCAACAGTTACAAAAATAGAGATTGTTCATAACAGTAAATTAAGTGCCAATTCTGAAAATATTTATTAGAGAGAACGATCAGTTGTATAAGCATGTGCTAGACTTTTAAATCATCTTTTAAATGAATAACATGGATTATTCATATAGTTTTAATAAAGGCGTAATGAAGTAATACACAGAAGAATGAATGAAAAGAAGCAATACATACAAAGGAGAAGAATGATGGCTATGAAATTAAGTAAATACAAGTGGAAATGAAATTGTCCTTGAGAATCAAAATTGCAACAGTATCAGGAACACAGGATACTTTGCATCAAAATGCAATAATTAGTTTGGCCTGTAGATAAGACTGGAGGTTGCTTTAAGCAAACAGATGCCGTCAATGCACTCTTTGTTAATTCAAATCTGAAATTATTTGTGCAAAAATAGAAAGGATGCTTTAGAAATATTAAAAAGCAAAAAAATATAAGACTAGATACCTCAGAATTACTGCATATAAGCTCATGATTCTATGACTTAGAAAGTATTATATTTATTTATAAGTTCACTATGAAATAAGAAGCAAAGAAAATGATGCTGTAAACTTAAGATAAAATCTCAGTGTGTCCAGCTAATTTGTTCTTTTCCAATCCTAATTCTACACTGTATTAATAATTTAATTTTAAATACATCATAATGTTATAAAATATTTCAGGGAAAGTAGTGTTAAAACTAATGAATTCATAATGGATGAACATTATGAATTCATTATTAGTTTTAAACCATTTTTAAAAAAATATTTTTTTGTGTAATGTCCATGTGTGGACAATAAATGTGTTGTTGTGTGAGAGACTGCATGAGTGTGTCTGTGTGTGAGTGCGTGTATGTCAGTGAGTGTGTGAGTGTATGTGTGCCTGCCATTGCCTGTGTGTACATTGGGCACTGATACATGAGGTGTGATATCTGAGTGTATTTAACCTTGAAAACAAATTTGAAAATAAAACATGATTTTCTCTTGGATTATACTAAGAACTGGCGCATAGAAAATGCAAATGTATTGCTCAGTTGACACAACATTTTGAACTCTATTTGCAGCTTTCTGTGAAGTTGAGAAAAACACTTAGATTGCTTTTTATTCCTCGTCAGTGCCTTCATCTGTTTGGAATCAAAAGTCAAATGAGAAAAACATGGATGTGGAGATGTAGTGTACTTAAAATAGAAGAGGAAAACTTCAGGGAGAACATTCATCTCTAAACTAAATACTCTTGAGAGCAAGGAATTAAAAAAAATCACAACAGAAACATCTTTCTCTACAAATCAAGATGGGGGCTAAGGAACACTTTGCCAGAGAGATCTCAAAGGTTAAAGACAGATGGCAGGGGTGTGCGGTTATACCTGCAAATGCATGGAAAAACAACCTACCACTTCAATTCTCTAAACTTCGCCAATGTGTCATGACACAAGGGCATGCTGGTCCTATTGTTTGAGTTCTATATTATTTTTCTGGCTTCTCTTCGTTATCTCATTTACCAACCAATACTCTCAGTACAAAGTAGGAGATTTGGAGTTTTCGCTGTACTATTCTTTCTTTGTTCTTTTTTATTAAATCACTGCTTGGCCATTTGCTCTAGCTTCTTATTGGCTAACTCATATATTAATTTAACCCATTGATGTGAATCTGTGCATCACCACGTGGCAGTGGCTTACTGAGTAAAATTTCCAGTGTCTATCTCCAGCAGCTCCATGGCTTCTCCCTAACTCTGCCTTCCTCCTCCCATGCTATAAGCCCAGCCAGTTTTCTTTATTCATTAAACAATAAAATCGGCTGTGCTATTCTTTATATGTGTTATTTCCCTAGAATATTCCTAGAAACTATTACTTTTGCACTTTGCAAAAAATATCATCAAATTAAAGCTACATTAGTGTTTCCTTTTCCTTGTTTAAAAAGTAAAAGGAGATAATCAGCATATTTAGAACATTTTTAAAAATAGGATACACCCTACATTGCCATTTGTTTGTTTGGGGACCAATTTTAAAGGCAGTTTTGAGCAAGGTAATTAGAATTTGCATTCTCTCTTTTGCCACCAGAATTCTTTTTTCCCTATATTTTACCTCATTCTGCTCCTGAATATTCACTAATATGAATTGAAAATCTTGTGTCTAAGCCACCAGAAAGATCAAAATTAATCAGAAAAAACCCGAGAGTTCTGTGGTTGCTTGCACCACAGTTTAGAGAATGAACATATTACAGTTCACGGAACCCAATCTCTCCTATGAAATTTAGTGCCTGCAGTGCCATTTCTTGCTTCCTTTGAATCCTTAAGAAGGGGACTCTAATGTTCTTACATTAAATGGACAGAGATGAGTCTAGATAGCAACATTTTCTACCTGGACACTGGAATGTAATATTTATGCAAAAATGCTTCCTGATTTAAAAAAATCGACCCTAATTTGATGACCACTTAGCCCCAGATATTGTAAGTCCCAAGAAAATAAGTGCCAAAGTATTATAGTTCACAAAGAATATTAATTCAAAATGTTTTTATATCCTTATGTATAATACAGGGTGGGTATTTAAAATTAAACTAAAACTCTTTTTCTAAAATCTTGGATGGTAAGCAAGTTAATTGGTTCTTTGATGTGTTTAATTTTAAACACTTGAGTAGAAAAATAGATCTTTAAAATTCATTAATTACAACAACTAAAATGACAGTATAATTAAAGTCAAAGGGATAAACAAATTAACTTACTGTTAGTGTCTGTCTTTTCTTTAGGTTATTCATACCATTGCTGCCACTGATAAAGATGACTTTGCCAATGGACCAAGGTTTAGTTTTTTCCTCGATGAGCGCCTGCCCATGAACCCAAACTTCACACTCAAGGATAATGAAGGTGACATAAATAAGTTTTGTTGACCTGTGTGTTTTCTATTTTGATCGGCAAGGTACAGTCATTACTAGTTTTGCCTCATCCTTCTATACCCAGGAACAGCTGGCAAATTGACATTCAAACTCAATCTGATGTTAGCGTGTTATGATCTGAGACTAGCTTGTATTTAAAATTGAGCCATATGTACAAATACCATTCATTGATTTTGCTCAGAAGTATTTCTTTGAAGAAGAAATGTACATAGAGCTTGCTCTTGGGCAAATTTTAAGAGAAATCGTTGCTGATAAATGTGTTTATGAGCATTGCTACAACTGCTAGAAGGCTATATA